GTTGTTCGACGTTAAGTATCGTTGGTGGCTGTTGTTCGACGTTAAGTATTGATGGTGGTTGTTCGACGTTAAGTATCGTTGGTGACTGTTGTTCGACGTTAAGTATTGATGGTGGTTGTTCAACATTAAGTATTGATGGTGGTTGTTCGACGTTAGGTATTGGTTGATTTAATAATGTTGATGAATTATTTATCGATGAGTTACGAGATAATGACGGTTGTTGTAATCCTTCCGGTGGTTGTCTAATTTTGCCAAATAAATTACCAGAATCAACAATATTAACATTTTTATTACTAGTTGATCTAGTTGATGATTGTCGTGATAATTGACCGTCTTTGATGACAGCAATATTACCATTTATATTACTAGTTGATCTTGTTGATGATTGTCGTGATAATTTACCGTCTTTGATGACAGCAATATTACCATTTTTATTACTAATTGATCTTGTTGATGATTGTCGTGATAATTTACCATCTTTAACAATTTCATTTGCTCTAATCAATTTTTTCAATAGAAAGAATTAATCAATTTTAATTAATTAAATGATTTAAAAATCGAATGAAAATTTTACTCACAGTTTAGCAGCAGCTTTTTTACGATGACAATACACACAACCATATATTGAAGCGCTTATAATTACTGCAAGGATAATACCTATAACAATGGCTGCAATAATTGCATGTTTTTGTCGTTCTGCTGTCCACCAACATGACGAAATATCATAACCAGAACCAACAATTTGAGCACATACTTTTGTAAATGTTTCTTTAGTATTGGATGCTAATTTTTCCGAATATTCTTGTGAACATTGTGTCACTACACCAATCTCACAATCCATTGTTTCCCAAACAAAACAGCAAAATTTTTTGGTTTTATAAAACTGAATAAAACATGGAAATGAATTAGGATTTTTAAAATCAATGCACAAACAAACTTACATAATCCGGTATACTAACTTCCCATTTTCGTTGAATTGAATATTCACATTGATCAAATCTTTCATGAATTGATTCGTCACAATTCAAAGATTTCGGTATACCATAAACAGATTTATATGGAAAACGTATTCCATCCCAATCAATTTGATTATTATCAATTCGTTGAAATGTTCGATCCCTTTCGGCTTTGTTTGAATACATAATTTTGATGACAACAAAAATTCAAACAAAAACTTTTTTTCTGAGAATAATGTTGATTTTCAATTCAACGAATTATTTGAAATTTTCAATCAATTTTGGCAAGGAAATTCTATTGATTTTATACTAAAATTCAAATTCTATTCGATGTTTATTATTAGTTCGATTGATCAAATAATTTTAAATGAAATTTGAACGACTTATTTAATTAGTGAATTAATTAATTTGTTTTATTGAAATCAAAAGAAATTGAATATAACCGGCTATTATTTTGTCTGTTTAAGTACTACTGGCACATATGCGTCGCTTGTAGCGAACGTGTTAATTAATTGAATGATTTCAAATGAAAAGTTTTATTTATTAAAATAGTAAATTAATTAATTTGTTTTATTGAAATCGAAAGAAATTGAAGTTACCGGTCGTCATTTTCAGTGCTTAAATGTATCTGGTGTTGGCACAATTCTAGGCATTATGAAGTTAACTAACCGACGTACATCATTAAATAATGTGTCTTTCTCTATTTCTGGTGTTGGTTCTTGTATTGACGGATTTAATGATGTTGATGATTCATTCATCAATGAATTACGTGATAATTCTTCCCATTGTTGTGCAATTGTTTTAAATAAATAATCGGAATCACTTTTATAACTACTTATTGAATTTATTGATGAATTTCGCGATAATTTATCGTCATTAATATCAAAAATATTACCACTTTCATTCTTACTTATTGAATTTATCGATGGTTTATGAGATAATGATGATTGTCGTGCTAATTGAACGTCTTTGATATCAAAAATATTACCACTTTCATTCTTACTTATTGAATTTATCGATGGTTTATGAGATAATGATGATTGTCGTGATAATT